GGTTGCTAGGCCCTATCCCCAGAGTCTCTGCTTCAGTAGGTCTGGGGTAGGACTCAAGGATTAGCGTTTACACAAGTTCCCAGGTGCTGCTGCTGCTGCTCTGCTGCTGCTTTTGGTGTCAGGGTCACACTTTGAGAACCACTGCTCTTAATGACTCTAAATGCAAGGCTCTCTTTTTCTTGATCCTTGCTGTGTCCATTTGTGCCCCCAAATGAGATTACAGCTAGAATCTGGCCCTGGCTTGTCCATAATGATCACATTTTGGGTAAATTTGTAGGTAGAATTTGAAAATTAGCTTACAAAGGCTAAGCACGTAGGGTAGAAAATAATAGAAGTGACAAATCGATGTGATCCAGCTAAGGCTGACAGGGGGCAGGCCTAAATCTCTTATGTATGCAGGTATTTACTTACCACTGTGAGGGTATGAAATAGTCCTGCCTTGAGGAAATTCATACCCTCAGGGACAAGAACACAAACCCATAAACAACATTCTTCCACACTGAGTTACAGTTGAGGTGAATCAAATATTATGAGACCAGTGAAAGCAGCTAACAGGGGCCTGTCAAAGTTGGAGGATTTGCCATCTTAACGCTAAATTTTTGCACAGTCCTTCACACCTCCACAAAATATCCTGAGTGGAAGTATTTTATTTTTTATTTACTTGGCTTTTTTGATTAATAAGTTTCCTGCTGCCCTTTGAGTGAGTAAAGAATAGCAAGCAGATTCAGGGATTAGTCGATTGGCTCGTTGAGCTACTAGGAAAGTTCATGAGTGAGAGGGACAGTTCTCCAGGGTGGAGCTGATAATGACAGGGGCTTGAATGGAACCATGGGGCTGGTTCCCACCTCTCAGGATAGCTGTCAGACACAAGTGCATCTTGATTTCATTCCTGAGAGGAGAGGTAGTGGGTAGGTGTCCCAGGTGAACTGATAAGGAAATAAAAACAAGGGAAGAATCTGTGATGATGATGAAAGAATGAAAGCAGTATTATCAGCAGATGAATGAGAACCATTGACTCACAGACTGCTGTAGCAAGCATAAAAAAAGTCACTGTTTTTTAACTTCATCCCTTGGTTTCAGAAGCCAGAAGTATATTACTGAGGAACCTGGATGACGGGGTCATCTTATTTGGGAACAGAGCAGTGTCAGATGGGCCAGACCATGCTTTTGTTTGCTGCCAAGATTGGGTCCAAGTGCAGCTACCATCCATAAGGAGTAAAGAGCTGAAGGACAATTTCAGCTGCTGTAAAGTACCATGGCCAAGGGGAAGGATAGGATCTTCCACAGACACTCCTAAAATAGGAGGGAGATTTAGTTCCTCCAGACTGGAAACCAGCTAAGCCCCCTCCCCCCCATGTTGGGAAAAGAGTCTGTCATTGGATTAGGGTTTAGAGTCATCAGTTATTGTGTGGGGCTATGTGAAACTGAGCACATGCCCATAGGAAAATTTGGTTTAAGGATCAGACTCAAGACTGGAAAATTCACAAAATGTACTCACATAAGATGACTGATTAAATGCTCTCAAACTAAGCATTTAAAACTTCTACAATGTGTCTCAAGTGGCAAGATTTGATTATAAAACCTATTAGAACATATCATGAGATGTTCTTGGAGGAATCAACCTTTTTCCCATTTAGTCAAAGTGCATAAGCTCACATGGTATACTTGTTTCCTGTGGCTGTTGTAACAAAAGTACCACGAATTGAATGGTTTAAAACAACAGAAATGTACTCTCTCACAGTTCTGAGGTTGATAGTCTAAAATCCAGGTATTGGAGGGCCGTGTCTCTCTGAAGACCCTAGGGAAGCATCTGTCCCTTGCCTTTCTCTTAGCTTCTGGTGATGCCACCAATCCTTGGCATTCCTTGGCTTATAGGCACATCACTCTAATCTCTGCCTCCATGATCACATGGCCCTTCTCCCTTCACATAATCTCCCCTCTGTGTATATCTTGTCTTCACATGCTGTCTTCTTACAAGGACACCAGGCGTATTGGATTAAGGATCCACCCTACTCCAATATGACCTCACCTTAACTCATTATGTCTGCAATGACCCTATTTCAAATAAGGCCACATCCTGATATTCTGAGGAGGAAATGAGTTTTNTACCTAGAGTAATTAAATTCATAGAGACAGAAAGTAGAAGGATGGTGGCCTGGGGCCAGGGTAGGGGGAATGGAGAGTTAGTATTTAATGGGTACAGAGTTATTTTGGAAAGATGAAAAAGTTCTGGAGATGGATGGTGGTGGTGGTTGCACAACAACATGAATGTACTTAATAGCACTTAATGTTATGGTAAATTTTATGTATATTTTACCCTGGTCATTTTTTTTAAGGCACTAGAAGCTCACATTCATTTCCCTTTTTAATGTTCCTCTGTGTTTGCAGAGCACAAACCCCTTCTCAAGTCAGACAAGGAAACAGAAAAATGATCTGGAGATAATCGCTGTATTATATTTTTTTGTTTGTTTTTGTTATTTTTAAAGGAAGGATAAGTAGAATCCTCCAGAAATGCTGGAGTGTGGCTTCACACTCCTGGTGAAGCTACACATGCACGGACACGCACGCACCCGTGAAACTGACCAATGCCCCGCCCACTTTTGCTTCCCCACACGGATGTATTTTCTCAGAGCAGTGATTTCCAAAGTAGGATCCTTGGAGCAGCAACATGAACATCACCTTAGAACTTGTTAGAAATGCAAATTCTCGGGCCCCACCCTCGACCTACCAAGTCAGCAAATCCGGGGCTGAGGCCCAGGAACCTGCGTTTTAACGAGCCCTCCCCGTGGCCTAGGTGCACGCTCACGTTGGAGCGTCCGTGACCAAGGTCTCATGCTGCCACTTGCGGCTAAGGATCTAGGGCGGAACAGCGGAGTCCCGAGGCTGGCCACGCACAGGTGTCCCTCTGCTGGGGCTCAAGGGGCGCCAACCTCTGCTCCCTGCTATTCCACCTCCTCCAAGGGTGGAGCCCGGCCGCCCCGCCTGCACACCTCCAGCTATACAGGTGGCTGGGCAGGGCCAGAAAACAAAGGCACAGGAGCAACACCTTTAAAAAAAAGTCCTCCTGCCTCGACAGCTCGCTCTCCAGTCGCAGGAAGCCCTCGGAGCCGCCAACATGGGTAGGCTCGCGTGGCCGGGATGGGGCGGAGTTTCCGTGGAGCTAGGGCTGCGCGGTCTGGGCGCTGCAAAGCGGGCTTAAGGG